CACTTTCGTGGGCTCCTGGGAAGCCCAGCGGAGGTGGGTCCCACGCGGATCACCTCGGTAGCTCGCCGCCCCCTGGGGGGCTTGCGATCTGCGCAACTGTCGCCACTTTCGTGGGCTCCTGGGAGGCCCATCGGAGGTGGGTCCCACGCGGATCACCTCGGTAGCTCGCAGCGCCCTGGGGGGCTTGCGATCTGTGCAACTGTTGCCACTGTCGTGGGTTCCTGGGAGGCCCAGCGGAGGTGGGTCCCACGCGGATCACCTCGGTAGCTCGCAGCGCCCTGGGGGGCTTGCGATTTTCGCAACTGTTGCCACTGTCGTGGGCTCCTGGGAGGCCCAGCCCAGGTGGGTCTCATTTGGATCACCTCGGGACCTCGCCGCCCCCATGGGGGGCTTGCGATCTGCGCAGCTGTCGCCACTGTCGTGGGCTCCTGGGAGGCCCAGCGGAGGTGGGTCCCACGCGAATCACCTCGGGACCTCGCCGCCCCTGGGGGGCTTGCGATTTTCGCAACTGTTGCCGCTTTCGTGGGCTCCTGGGAGGCCCAGCCCAGGTGGGTCTCATTCGGATCACCTCGGGACCTCGCCGCCCCCTGGGGGGCTTGTGATCTGCGCAACTGTCTCCACTTTCGTGGGTTCCTGGGAGGCCCAGCGGAGGTACGTCCCACGTGGATCATTCGGAGGTACGTCATACGCGTTTCTTTCAACGCCCCTGTGCTTCCATTTTGTATAGTTGCCGTTCCTCTTCTCGCTGCAGTCTTCTGAAATCACTGATGGGTGCTCTTCTTGCGCACTGCGGGTCCTTCAGAATGCAAGTCAGCACTGCGTGGTCCTGAGTAGAATCGCCACTTGTATAGAAAGGGTCGGGTACGTCACAGGGTAATTGAATGTGTGCGGCGCTAAAGCGAGAGCCACATTTTGAAAACCACCCGCCCTCAATCCGTGAAGTTTTTGCAATGCTTTGCAACAGATGTGCGCGGCGCTAAGGCGAGAGCCACATGTTGGAAAACACCCGCCTGCAACATGTGAGGCTCCTGCTAGTGCGTGAAAACGAATACGCTAGAGCGAAAGCCACATTTTGAAAACGACCCGCACTAAACCAGCGAAGCTCCTTCAACTTCTTAACACGAATGTGCACGGCGCCAAGGCGACAGCCACATGTTTAAAGCCTCTCGCCGTTCATCTGTGGAATTGTGAACTTTACAGCTTCAAGGCTATACATGGTGAGGCAGTCTCAAGCGAAATGCCTGGCCCACCATTTCGACCGGTCTCGGGGTGCGACAGGGAGGAGTCAATGTGGCTCTCGCCTCAGCGCCGCGCACATTCGTGTTTTTTATGGGGAAAGTTGTAAGAGCTTCGCGAATTGAGGGCGGCACCTTTTCAAAATGTGGCTCTCGCCTGAGCGATGCGCGCACTTGTTGTGCAAATGTGCAAGAGTTTCACTGATTTCCAGGGGCAACGTGCCAGAAACTATGTTTTGGGGAAACTCCGGACTCTGAGGGCGCAACAATTACGTTGATTCGCGGTGCTGAAATTCCAGGAGTGCTGTCCCGCCGTGGTTCCGCATCGTCAAGGCGAAACAATCATGTTGATTCGTGGCGTCGGGGTCCCGAACATGTTCTACTGCCACGCTTCAGGGTCTTCAAACGCTCGTCTCCCAACGAGGCAGTTCCCAGTTGTGGGAAAAGGGAGGGCCCGTGTGCCAGCAAGCCGGGTAAAGAGGGGTGTGGGATCGCTGGCGATCAGAGGGACGGGGTGCACATTTGGAGGCGGGGATGTTGCGGGGGGGTGGGGGTATAGGGGCAGCACTGACATTCGCAGCGGACGCACCAGCAAGCAGCAAGGGGACGACGGGGCCTCGGCAGGCCGCGGGCAGCCGACTCCCAAGCCTCCTCCCGCGTCCGACGCCGCGTCAGCACCAATGCATGCTCCCCTCCCCTCCCTTCCTCCCTCCTCCGTCCTCTCCTCGTCCTCGTCCTCTCCCCTCTGATTCCTGCTCCTCCTCCTCCTCCTCCTCCTCCTCCTCCTCCTCCTCCTCCTCCTCCTCCTCCTCCTCCTCCTCCTCCTCCCTCCTCCTCTCCCCAACGCCCACCCATCATCGCCGTTTTCTTTCCCTTGTTCTTATTATTCCCCCTCGCCCTTGCCATCCATCACCCCGAATCGTACTCGTCGTCATCAGAACAAAGGGAGAGGGACGGCGAGGAGGAAGATGGGGACGGAGGGTCAGCATGGGAGGGAGAAGGAGAAAAGGCTCGAAGGAACAGGAGGAGGACTTTTGACGAACGTCCTGCCCCGCCAGCGTCACTCTCTGATGGGGGCCGTTTCCACCCGAAGTTTCTCTTTCGGGTGCCAGCCCCGCTTGGCCCTGGACCAACAGTCCGCCGCTTTGGCGAATGGGCGTGTGCACTCATTGCGGAGCTGCTTGAATTGGCCGAGGGTCGAACACGCTTTGCAGCGGGCGCAAACAATCAGAATGTGATCGTTCGCGCACTCCAGAGCAAGACAGGAGTGGCCTCGATCTACGACAGAACGGGCAATTGGGGGCAAATCACCAGCACAGCCCTCGTCCGCGGGGCGTGCTGCTTGCCGACGAAATCTAAGACACCGATTGCACCTCCAAAACGTTTTGACCCACACCCAAATGTGCACGGGGGGGGGCGGGGAGGTGCAATACATGGAACATCTGAAAGGTCCATACGCGGCCATGAAGCGAGCACTTTGGCGGCCAGGCGTGAGACCATGCGGGAGACCTTCAGCTGCCACAGCAGCTTGTCGGCTTGTGAAAGGAGAAGGCTAGGGGTGCGCCGCGGCCCCAAGCTTGGCTGAGCGATCAGCCTCGTCGTTGCCAATCTTAAAGGATCGCCCTTCGGGGGAAAGGCCCTCCGAGTCGGCCACATGGGCCTTAACCTTCAACACGTCAGAAAAACGGGACCCCAGGGCATTTATCATGAGGCCCGCGTAAGGCCTTTCGTACGACAGCTTCTTAAAACGGTCGAGCTTAAAGGCCTTACAAACATTTAGACAATCCGAGAACCCTAAGGCAGGGTCCGTGAGGCAGAAGCACGAGTACGCTAAAGCCCCGAATTCACCCACCTGTGGGGTCCGGGGGAAACGATCCCATAGGGGAGACCACATTCGGAGCTTCAAAACCTGCCGAGAATCATCAACCGCTAAGCCCCATCCTGCCCTGCTTAATTCCTTAACTTCGTGCTTCTCACAGGACCCATCCATGAATACCGAACCTCCAGAAAACAGCTGCTCGTCGGGGTGCTCCGGGTCGCCCTCCCAGGCGAAGACCGTGGGGGGCGACCTCCTGGACGGGGCGTGGGTGGACATCGCCTGGGTGGGGGAAGAAGGCCCTTGGCGAAGAGAAGCCGGTCCTCCATGGAGCACGACGCGGGGTCAAGCTGTTGGGCAGCCTCCAACACAGTCCTGTCTACAATCTCCTGTCTGAGCTCCGCGACCTCTGGATCAGGACAAACCCAAAACCGATGACATATCGAATCCGACGGCCCCTGGCACAAAGCACAACACGTGTCCTGGAGTTGGTACCCACACTGGACGGCTCTCTCCTTGGTCCAGCAGGCCCCGCATACATTAGCTCTTACCGAGCCCTTCTCAAACGGCGTAAACTTGGAGCTGCTGAGGTCGAGGATCACAGAATCATAACACAATCTGGCGCCGAGCCCGAGCTTCTCGCCCGAAAGACGGCACAGTTGTCGGACCACGCCCTCACGCAACAGATTCTTGATCAGCTTGGGGGACGAGGTAGTGAGGGAGTAGGGCACACCTAGATCGCTCACCACCTGCGCGTAGTTGGGCATGGTCCAACCTATGCAGCCGAGAGAAAAATACATGGCGCCGATCGGCCCACGAACTTGCCGCCATGAAAACGGTGGTCTGGACCATGTCTGCTGCCAGGCGTCTCTAAGTACTGCGAAACCTAATGCGAATGGAGTCTGCTGAACCTGGGCGCCCCACAGCTCCTTGGAGTATCTGGCAATCGGCGAAATTTCAGCATGGTAAACAAGGCCCGCTTCCAGGATACAAAGGGACGTAAGAGACCTGGATCCCGCGGACGGTTTGACAGATTTCCCGAACCCAGCTCGAAGCGGACCCAATTCATAATCAGATACACCATATACTTCGGAGCCGTAGCTCACAGATGCCAGCGGTCCTGAAACAAAAATCTTGCGGGTATGACGGCCGAGAGCTTGACGAGTTTTACGAACGCGCTTACACCGAATCCGAAAATGTTGCATTATGCTCTTGGCCTTCTTACCTCGACCTCCTGTGCGACGAGCCTGTCCAGCACCGTCGTCTACTCCGAGGTTGACTGAGGTCCTCGTGTCGGTTGAGGGGCCGCCGTGCTGCCCAAGGAACTGCTTGATGGCCTGCCCAACATCCGCATGACACGAAACAACCGCAGCCCACACTTCCTCCCCTGGATCTAGATTCAAATCCTCCTCCCCCCGTGTTGGGTCTTCTCCCATGGCAGGTCCCTTCTCGACCCCATCCTGCACTGTCTAGGGTAAAGGGTTGCGAGCATGACGTGAAACGGACAACTCGTGAACCAACAACGAAAGCAATGCAGAATGTAGGTGAGGAGCAAGCCGCGTCTCAAATGGAACCTCCGATTCTCGCAAATGTTTAAGAGAAAACCCGCTCAGGCGAAAAACGACTGGTTCCCGAAGAGGGATGGTTGCCGCCATCTGTTCCGTAGCCTCTGATGTTCCAGGCTCATGCGTGTACACGGGTGCTCTAACACCTCTGACAAAACACCTCATCGGGCGAGGCTAACGAGCAAAACGCCTTTCTTACCTCATGGTGTCGCAATGATTCCTCCCCCCTCCCCCTCCCCCAGCAGGCGTCTAAACTGGCGCCTCCCGGCCTGCCTGAAGGACAACGGCACCCTTCGGCAGCCGCAGCTCTCGGCGGAGGCCCCGAGACGGCGGGCATTGGCACTGGTAGCCGGGGCACTGGCGCCCGTGCCCGCCGTGGTGCCCATGACTGGTGCCCACGCCCGCCACGGGCGCAAATGTCCATGCCCGACAGTGTACAAGAACGCTGCAAGATGACCAAGATGACTGGAGCGCTCCTGGGCCGTCTGGGGGCCCCGGCGGATCCTCTAGGAAGACTCGTGGAACCCTCTTGGCCTGCTCCTGGGGGAGGAGGAGGCGAACGAGGAGGAGAAGAAGGAGAAGGGGCAATCCGCGAGAGGCCGCGCCACGCCACGCCCCAGAAAACCTGTGCACTTGGGGCTGGGGGCCCTACATCCTCAACCCTCAGGACCCGGGGCGGAGAACTCAATGGACCTAAGGACACTCCAACCCGTGCCTCGCTGAACGGTGGCTGATGCATGCAAACTTATGTTCATGTGTGTACATCATGTATCCGTGCACACACGGAGATGTTTGAGCGCACGCAGGCTGGAACCTATACTGGACACTATGAGGAAATGTCTAAAATAACAGTATAACTGTTAGCCAACGTGGACCCCGCACAGCGCGCTTCGAACAATAGGTGTGGTACAACCGATGCATGTAATCTATGTGGTGCGGTAGGCATGGTGCAATATGGTATGTACAGTAAACGCATCTATATACATACACATGTGTGCACAAACATGTATACACATGGTTCAACATACGTATATCGTACACACACTTACATACATGTAGTGGGCTACGCGTGGTGCAATCCACGTGGTGCAAAATATGGTGCGCAATATATGTTCGGCAACTTATGGGGAGCAATATAGGTCTTGCGATATGAGTGCGGCGATCTAGATGGTGCAAGGCATGTAGTGCAGCATGTGTGGTGCAATCTGGGCCAGGTTGTGCAGTAGATGTGGTGCAAAGTCTGTGTTGCAACACATGTGCCACGATCTAGGCGGTTTCATATATGGTGTACAGTCTATGTGTTGCTATGTACGTGGTGCAAAATATGTAATGCACTCTGTGTGGTGCAATGTATCTGGTGCGATCCATGTGACGCGAACCATATGGTGTGCAATTAATGTGGGGCCACATGCCTGGTGCAACCGGCGTCGTACAATATATGTTATGCATTCCATGTGCTGTGCAAATATGTGGTGCGTTCTATATGGTGCAAGTGATTTTAACAAACGGGCTGACACATCCCACGCTCTTGCAATCATCCCACCCACCCACCCGCAACTTGGCTTGCAAAACCCATGTGGTGACGATTGCGATGAATGTTTGGAGTTCGCTAGCCCATCTCTGCAGCCGCGCCAGCCCAAGCGCGCGCGCAGCGGGAAGCTAGTTTGGCGCGACCGACGCGGCCTCGGTGGCGCTGACTGCTGGGCACATCCCAGCTGGCACTTCACTGCGAGTCGGCGACTTGGGCGGAGCGGTATCATGGCAACGTCGACAACGGTAGACACGATGATGATCGCAGCGATGTTGTTGACGATGTTGGCAACGACGACGGCGCGGCCAGTGCGCGCGCAGATGTTGATCACGCCGCCGACGACACCGACGACGACACACCGACGACGTCTCCAACGACTTCGACGACGCCGACAACGACGACGACGACGACGACACCGACGACGACGACGACGACGCCGACGCCGACGACGACGATGACAACGACGACGACGATGAGGACGCCGACGACGACGACGACGACAACGACGACACCGACGACGACGACGACGACGGCGGCGACGACGACGACGCCGACGTCGACGACGACGAAGACGACGACGATGCCAACGTCAACGACGACGACGAAGACGACGACGACGTCGCCAACGAAGACGACGACGAGGGAGGAGGGAGGACGACGACGGCGACAATGACGACAACGACGACAACGACGACAACGACGAGAGAGGAGGGAGGACGGCGACGACGCGAACGACGAAGAAGGAGGAAGGACGGCGACGCCGACGACGACAACGACGAGGGAGGAGGGAAGACGACGACGACGACGACGACGACGACGACGACAACGGCAACGAAATAGGAGGGACGACGACGAGACGCCGACGACGGACGACGACGACGACGAGGGAGGAGGAAGGACGACCACGGCGACAATGACGATGGAAACGACCACGACGCCGAAGAGGACGACGACGACGAACACGAGGAAAGACAGAGGACGACGTAGGCGACGACGACGACGACGCGGGAGGAGGGAGGACGGCGACGACGACGACGACGACGCAAGAGAGCGCGCGCACGCTTGTGGTGAAAATCCGTGTTGCGAAACCTTGTGTTGTTGTAGGTTTTTTGGACACACGATGTTGAAATCCTTCCGAAACCGATGGGTTTTGAAGGATTTCGGCATACGCGCGCGACGACGCGCGCGTCTGCACTTCGTCCCATTTTTTTCCAATGAATTCTCGCGACGGCACACGCGTAAGGGCGTTCGACAGATTTCGACATGCGCGCGCGCGAAGCCCTTTTGGTAGCATTTTGTGAAAATCTTGAAACACCGATGGTTTTCGTAAGATTTCGCTAGAGCTCGCGCGTAAGCTTTTTTAGCAAGTCAGTGTTGCGAAACCCTGTGTTTTGCATGTTTTCTGGAAGCTCGATTGCGAAGTCCTTCCGACACCGAAGGTTTTTGGAGGATTTCGGCATGCGCGCGCGACGACGCGCGTTTGTGCACTTCGTCCCACTTTGTGCAAGGGACTCATTAAAAAGTGCTATGTTCGAGCAAAAGATGTCCCCGCGTATTGCGCTTCACAACGGAACCTCAGAGGGACCGATACCGGTTCCCCGGGGATCATGCAAATTCATATTCAGGATGGACATGTGGCCAGAACCATGTATGATTCACATACCCGAAAGGGGGGCGGCGAACGCTGGGGTGGGGGGTAGAGTCTATTCTCTTTTAGAAAGGAGAATCCATGCGATGAGCAGTATTTATTGTGCAATGTATGTGGGACAGTCTCTGTGGTGCAACCTATGTTGTGCAACCTATGTTGTGCAGTCTATGTTGTGCCATCTGCGTGATGCAATCTATGCGGCGCAATCTAACGGAGGCGACGAGCGGCCACATAACCGCCAGACCGAAGACACGGCCCAGACGACGGGCGGCGACGAGGCGGCGACGGGGCGGCGACGGCGGCCACAGACAGAGACAGAGACAGACAGTCGGGCCGGGTGAAAGATGGGGTTAGCAAAAGGGGGGGTTGAGAATCAGCTAATTTAGCTGATTCTCCCGGCGCCTCCCGGAGCCGGAGGCGGCTATGTATCGAGGAATGGGCCTCTCGGTGGGGCCGAAACCAGCTGCACGCAGCAAATTTTGTAACCCACCCTTTCCCAACCCCCTTTGTCTCGTCCGGCCCGAGACAGACAGACAGACAGACGGCGCGCGCGAAACAACAGAAAAAGACAAGTCCTCGCACGCGCCGCCGGCGAGCAGCCACCCGATGGCCGTGGGGTCCTCGCCCGCCAGCTCAAGCGCCCGCAGCGCGCCCAGGTCCTCGCGCACGGGGCGGCGCGGCGCGCGCCCGCCGCGCGACGCTCCTCCTCCTCCTCCTCCTCCTCCTCCTCCTCCTCCTCCTTCTCCTCCCCCTGCCCCTCCTCTCCTCCTCCTATCCTCCTCCTTCCTCCTATCCTCCTCCCGCCTCCCTCCTGCCTCCTCCCTCCTCGATCTTCGGCTCTCATGCCAGGGCAGTGGATCTCGCGAGATCCCCCCCTCCTCCAGGATCCGAGGACGGGCTTGCCAAACTGAAGGACCAATCCCCCCTCCCTGCTTTCCCAGGGCGGCGTTCTTGATTCCCCGGGAAAATGCTGGCCTCGGCACGTCTTGCCTGCAGCCCCTTTTGGCACTGTTACTGCGCACCCCGTCGCGGTCAACGGGGGGCGGCAACCACCAACTCCCCCACCCTTCGGCCCTTTTCTGGGGTGCAGGGGTGGGTGTGAGAAATCGACGTTCGCACCGACTCTTGGTCCCGCTCTCAGGACTCCCATTGCACTGCTTGAGGTCGGTTGCACATACCCGAGCCGGTAGAACAGCTCAGGTGGCAGGAAAACGGTTCCCCGTTTTCCCGCGTCGACTTTTCTGTGTAACGGTCTGGTCGGGCCTTGGTTTTTCAGCCGGGTGCGCAGCACGTTCTGGCAGAGCCCTGCCGGAACATGCTGGCTTCGGCCCGTGCCGTGCTGTGTGGTGCGAGAGGCACCGCATAGTATGTACGAGCACTTGTTTCGGGGGGTGCCTGCCCCTCTTTCGGTTTTGCTCTCGGCGGGGCGCGGCTGTCCCTGGGGCTGGGCGAGCAACAAACCAGTGGCTGAGCGTCGCGTGCGCACTCGTTATCCCCCCTGTGGGATACCCAGCGCGCAAGGCCTACTTAGTTTCGGTGTCGAAACTGGGTATGCCGGTTTTGTGTTTCACCCCTCCCTTTTCAGGAATTCTCGCCTCAGGGCCACCTGCCCCCTCGAGCAGATTTGCTTCTCAGACATCCACATCCGCGTCGACCTTCGGGCCCTCTTCCCCACCCCACCTCGGTGAGGACCATCATCGGCCTCACCAGTGAGGAACATCATAGGCCTCACACTCCTTGCGGCTGCCATCCTCGGGGCCGCTTGGGTCGCTCTCTCCCACTAATGCACCAATCCATTACGGCGTCAGTTGCCACTGGAGGGGGCCGAGGCTCTCTCTACGGCCCCTCGGCCAACGAAGTCGGCCGTAGGGAGGGGTGCCAACGTACCTCTACGACTCAGACCTGCAAGACCATACGGCGCCAATTGCCACCATTCATTGCTTCCCTCCTCACTCCTCCCCTAATCATTCCATCCTCCCTCTTTGTTGGACGCCTGAAATGGATACGGAAAAATGGGTACAATGCTCAACAACAAATGTTGTCCCAAACCAACAGCGGCCGCTGTTGGGCAGGCGGACTTCTGTCTCAAATGGACACTGGCCGCGGCGGCGCGGACAGCGAATCCTGTTCAGAATGAACAGGAACTGCTGTTGGGCATCGTACCCATTCTTCCCGTACCCACTTCTTTCGTGCCGATCTTCCCCCCCTCCCTCCCTCCCTCTGTGCTGTAGTGCTAGTTCATGCGGCACCCCCCCCCCGCGGATGGCCCCGTGGAGGCCCCTCCGCGGACCGCCGATCCGATCCCATCCCTCCTCCCTCCTCCCTCCTCCACAAGTCCTCGTTCCTCCCTCCTCCTCCTCCTCCTCCTCCTCCTCCTCCTCCTTCCCTTCCTTCTCTCTCCTCCCTCCTCCCTCCTCTTTCCTCCCTTCTCCTCTTCCTCCTTCCTCCTTCCCTCCTCCCTCCTCCCCCCTCCCTCCTCCACAGTCCTCGCTCCTCCCTCCTCCTCCTGCCCTCCCCTTCCGTTCCACTCCTCCCTCCCTCCCCTGACACGGCGCCAAGGCCAGGGGCATCTGGGCGTGCGCACCGTCCTTCTCCTCCTCCTCCTCCTCCTCCTCCTCCTCCTCCATCTTCTCCAAGGGGGTCTGGCTCCGGACCTCGACTCAGTGCGACTGTTTGCAGCAGTGCGTCCATCATGGGGGAGCCTCCACCTGCGTGAAACAGGTGCCAGAAAACAGCAGAGGTCTACTGTACTCCATGGGGGCGGGGAGGGGTGGGGTGCGAGGGCCCGCGCCGATCGGCAAAACAAGGAGTAACAAAAACGATCACGTTCCCCGTGGTTGCTTCGCTGGCGCGTTCAGACGCGGCGATCCCTAGGGTCAACGGCGGCGATTCCTACCCGGTGGCGCAAGGCCTCGCTGGACCTCGCGAAGACTGGAGAAAGGCCTCGCGAAGATCCGCGGCGGAAGGGCTCCCCGGGCAGGCACGGGCACCGGCGTGGCTCCCGCAGGAGACGACGGCGGAGCTCCCCTCCCTCCTCTCTCACGCTCGCTCCGCGCTCGCTCTCGCTGCCGATCTGTCTCGTGTCCTCGCTTTCTTGACTTCTTCTTGCTGTTGCTGCTCTCTCCGTCGCCCCAGAGATCCGATGCCGCGATTTTTTCCATGCGGGGTCCCCGGGAGTCTCGACCCATTCCCCAGGACTAGCTTCTCATCCTGAGTCGTTTTTTGACGGTCCCGAGGCCCGGCGAGGGAAAACCTGCGTCTTGATGTTTGTCAATGCGTTGGATCTCTGGGCCTCTCTTTCTCCCTCTCTCTCTCTGCCTGCCTGTCTGCCTGCCTGTCTGCCCTCGGCGACGGGCGCGCGCGCGCCCGGCGCCCGGAGTCCTCGTGCACCTCGGGCCTCGAGAACAGCTCCGCGAGACCGCACGCGGAGGCGCCCAGCGACATGCCGCCTTGCGCCCCCTGCTGCTGCTCGATCCTCGGCCCTCGATCCTCGATCCTCGATTGCTCGATTGCTCGATGCTCGAATCTCGAACCCAGATCCTCGATCCTCGATCCTCGATGCTCGACCCTCGATCCTCGAACCTCGAACCTCGAACCTCGATGCTCGATTCTCGACCCTCGATCCTCGATCCTGGGATCCTCGTTCGTGGGATCCTCGATCCTGGGGTCCTCGATCCTGGCTCCTCTCTCCTCGCCGCCGGCACCGCTGCTGCCGCACTCGCGCCGGGGCGCGCGGCGCGAGGGGCGGCGGGGAACGGGGCCGCAGGGCTGCTAAAAGGAGGAAGAGGGCACCGATACCACTGCGCGTCCCCGAGGGCCCTCGCCACCACGGCCGGCATCTCTTCGAGATGCTGGGCGCGAGTTCATGGGGGGCGAGAAATCGGGAGGGGAGAGAGCTGCCGACTTCGGGCCCTGAAGGGCCCCTTTACGGCAGCCCTCGCTGCCGCCCCAATTATCGCCCCCCATTACCTGGTCTACAAAGGTGCTGCTCGGGACGAGCCCCAGGAGAGGTACGGGGAGTAGCGGTGCCGGTACAGTCAACCTGCACAACAAGGACGCACCATCAGGATGCACGGGCATTGGAAGGCCATGTCTACACGTTGCGAGCATAGCGCGGCCAGCGAAAGCGGCCAAGGATGGGCCGAAGGGGAAGGATGCAAGGGTAAGCTTGGAAAACTGCTCATCCTTACTATGCGGGCTTAGCTGCCCCGATACGCAACACGCAACACGTAGCGTGTTAGCACCGAGCTCAACACGTAGACTGAACACGCAGGTCTGGCGCGATACGTTCGCCAGCACATGGACCAACACGTGCCGAGCCAACACGCAGCGTGTTCACACGTACGTTTTGAACACCGCACGTGTTGCGTTTCAACATGGGCGTATCAGGGCAGCTAAGTATGCGGGTTGACTGTAATTACCCTTGTCCTCCCCGCTGCAGCCAGAGCGGTGGTGAGATGATGGCCGGCTGCGCAAGCGGCCAGACGTAGGAGTGGCCCTGGGCCCGATTGACCTCTGGTGCGCGGCCCGCCGGGTGACCGCATGGGGCGCGGCAGCAGGGGGCCTCGCCACCACGGCCGGACTCTCCTCGAGATGCTGATCGGAAAGGAACCCTCGGAGAGGTCCCGGGGAGCAGCGGTGTCGGCGCCTCTGTCCGCACCCGCTGCAGCCAGAGCGGTGAGGAGGGGATGGCCAGCCGAAGAAGCGGCCAGGCGCAAGAGTGGCCCTGGGCCCGACGTGGCCTTTGGTGCGCGGCCTGCTCGGTGGCTGCGTGGGGGTCCCGCGCGAGTTCGGGCCTGGACCCCTCGCGCCGCCCGAAAGCCACGCACCGGAGGCAACGCCGGCGAGCAGGGTCACTCCTGCGCGTGGCTGGACGAGGCCTGCGCGAGCCAGCCTTTCCCCGCCGAGCCTTACGCGTGCGCTGGGGGCCCGAACAACTGGCAAGAATGGATGGGCCCCGACTAGGATCGACTTTGAGCGGAGATTGGTCCGACGTGATCATCGTCCTGCTCCTCCTCCTCCCCCCTCCTCCTCCTCCTCCTGCTCCTCCTCCCCCTCCTCCACCTCTTCCCCCTCCACCTCCAGCCTCCTCCTCCTGCTCCTCCTCCACCCTCCTTTTCCATCCTTTTCCTGATAATTGATTTCCCCCTGTCGCATTCCGAAGCCAATTTTTAGGGCGGGCCGGGCGCTTCGCCTGAGACTTCCTCACCACTGATGACCCTGAAGATGAAACATCAGCAACAGCTTCACAAATGGAGGGCGGGTGGTTTTCAAAATGTGGCTCTCGCTTTAGCGCCGCGCACATTCGTTTAAACAAATGCAAGAGCTTCACATATTGAGGGCGGTTCCTTTTCAAAATGTGGCCCTCGCCTTCGCGCCGCGCACATCCGTCTTTCAACGATGGCAAGAGCTTCACGGATTGAGGGCGGGTGGTTTTCAAAATGTGGCTCTCGCCTGAGCGCCGCGAACATTCGTTGTACAAATTTGGAAGAGCTTCATGGGTTGAGGGCGGTTCCTTTTCAAAATGCGGTTGTCGCCTAAGCGCCGCGCGCATTCGTCGAATTTTGCAATTTACAAGAGCTTCACGGATTTCCATGATCAGCGTACCAGAAAAGGTGTTTTGGAAAGATTCAGGATCATGCGGGTGCTACGATTACGTTGATTCGCGGTGTTTGAGTTCCAGGTATGGCGTTTTGGCACGGCTCCTGCTCGCCAGAACGCAACAGTCAGGTTGATCCGTGACGTTGGAATCCCGGAAACAACTTGTTGACAAGTTTCAGAATCTTCAAACGGTTATCTTCCGACGAGGCAGTTCCCTCAGTGGGGATGAGCCGTTGTAGGAGCCTATGAAGAGGGAGCTTGGAAGGTGGTTATTCCAACATGGTTGATGACTCTTGGGTTTACACTGGTCCTCCTCCTCCTCCTCGTGATCCTCCCCTCCTCCTCCTGCTCCTCCTGCTCCTCCTTCTCCTCCTGCGCCTCCTCCTCCTCTTCCTCCTCCTCCTCTTCCTCATCCTCCTTCCCCTCCAGCCTCTTCCACCTCCACCCCTCCTCTTCCTGCTGCTCCTCCTCCTCCTCTCTCCCTCTCTCTCTCTCTCTCTCGCAGCGCTGCGGCCAGTCTGGCGAGCGGTTCGGGAAGGAGCCCGACCGCGCACGATGGCGGGCGCTGCGAGCCGCGGAGGGCCTACCCTGCGAAGGGCCCACCCTCGCGCGGCAGCGCCCACGTCTGCGCGCGGGAGGGGCCGACGGCCAGCTGCAAGGCCAGCGGCGGTGGCGGCGGCAAGCAGCAGCCGCAGCAGGCATTCGCTCGGCACTCGGACGGAAGGGGAGGAACGCAATGGAATCGCGATTCGACGTCGGGAAACATGGTCGAGGATCAGGAGCGGGAAAAGGGCCCCCCCGAGGCAGGGGGTGCGCCATGGCACTGGGGTCGGCGGTGTGACCAGTCCAACGCCGACCCCGCCTCGAGCAGCTCTCGCCGTAGCGGAAAACTACACCCTCCTCACGGAGGCAGCCTTCAGCTCTGGTGGGGGTAGGGGTCCAGCGGCCAGAAATGGGCCCAGTAGTGGCCCGAAGATGTGGCGGGCTCCCAGGGCCACCTACACGTTCCGCCCCAGAGCTGAACTAAAGAAATTGCTGTTCCTATCCCGGGCCTGGTCCGACAGCCTTCGCCTACTCCTGGCAGATTAGCTGTCAAGAGTGAGCAGGCCGTCCTTGCCCTAAACGCACTCAGAATGTTCCTGAGCTCCAGCATCTGGCACGACGCCAGATTCCGAAGCTCCGTCACCTCGGGCATGCGTGCAAAATCCGCCCTAATCTGCATCACCGTGGGAGTCTCCTGGAGCGCCGCGTGGGCCGCCAGCAGCACCCCAGCACGCAGCGCCTCGTTCTCGACGAGCTGCTTCTGGCGCTGCTTCCTCGCGGTCGTCAAGCTGCCCCAGATGTTGCTCTGCCTCAGGTCCTGGGTCTCGTGGCAGTCTGGGGTCTCCACGATGACCGCCGCGATTAGTCCGTCGTCGATCTGCTTGCGCCAGTGCTGCAGGGCATCGATCTTCAGCTCCACGAAGGCCAAGGCAATGCCTCTGCAGTCGTACTCGGTGTTCGCCACCCTCGCCGTCTCGAGCTCCATCACGTCGGCGTAGTCCCCTGTCTTGCGCTTCGCCGTCGTCGCATGCAGTACGATCTTGGCTGAGTCGAGGTTCGGCTTCGGGATGGCCCTCTCTCTCCACTCCCCCCGCATTGGCATCTTCGGGATCTCAATGTTCTCGCTGCCCTGCTCAGAGTCCTCGTTTCCGCCTGCAGTCTCTGGCTCAACTAAGTCGTCATGTCTGTTCTCTTCTGCTCGTTGGTCCGCTGCATCTTCTCCTTCATCACTCTGCTTCTGGTCCTCCTTCTTTGGTTGCAGCCGCTCATTTTTGCTACATGGAACAAGCGCTGTTTCTACTCGGTGTCCTTTTTGCTTCAGCTTCGCCGTGTGGTCTATGTCTTGCTGGTATAACCTCCAAGCCTCAACGTGTTCCATCGGTTGTTCAGTTCTCTTGTGCCACTTGAGACATTGTCGGCAACGATGTCGAATATGTATGATGAGCCTCGGTCGTGTCTGAAAGTCTTTTCCACATGAAATGCATAAAGATCCTTTTGCGTACAGTTGCGCTGTGTCGATTGGCATATGCTTCGTTCGGCGTCTCTTCCATGCTCCTCTCTCCGCCGTCGTAAATCCGCATTCGTAACAAAAAATATTGCGCGTCCTGGTCTTTTTTTGCCTCCATGGTATTGCTGCCGTTTGTTTCTGTATGTTGTCTAGCTCCCTTTTCCATAGATCATCCATCGCGCCGTCGATGTTGCTGTCCATTTGTCTTTGCCATGCTTGCCTGCATCGTCTATCACTCCTTCCCGTCATGCCGTATCAGATTGATCAATTGTTTCTTACATCTGGCAGGCTCCATGTCTTTGTCAGTAAGATCCGATAGCCATTGGAGATCACCGTCGATCATGTCTGACCACGTCTCAGTCCTCTTAATGGTGTCTAACTCGTCCAATGCCCTGCGTAAAGTCGGTGGCCCACTTTCCACTATCGACTTCAGGAACCGTAGTCTTCTGCATCTCAGAAGCGTTGGCAGGTCCCCGATCTTGGCCTTGGCATGCAGCTCCTTGTCCGTCGTGGGCTCCAGCGTTCTGGCCTCCGTCGGCTTTGTGATGAGCCCCAGTGCCTGGCGAATGCCCTTGCCATATGCCGTCTCCACGATCTTATGGGCTGTCTTCGGTATCGGCGGCCAAGTCTCGCTCCGCCAAAGCAGCTTGCTGTTGGCGTAGCTCTTAGTGTACTTTAGCGTATCTTTGTCCGCCAGCCGCGGGTTCCTGCATATCGTCGCCAGGTTCCTCGCCTCCTGCTTATGGCTTGTGGCTCTTTTCTGCATCTCTGGCCTCCACGTGTTGTCTGCCATTTGCT